TTTCCCCGATTCCTGTGGTCAGAGTCTTAGGGAGAATGACTTCTTACCTCCAGGTCGTTAGGAATGAGGGCCTTTCAAATGGGTTAGCCTCACGAACTCTTAGTGTCTGGAGTACCGTTAAATACGGATTGGCTCTTAATTTTCAAGGTCTGATGAGGACAGCCGTCTTCCACCATCTTTCTTGAAATCACACCAGCTATGTCTTTAGCAGTGACGACCCCTTCCTTGCCCTGGCCTTTTGGGGCCAGCTGTTGGCTCCTATCCTGTCGCATCGCCAGAGCCCCTCCCTCCAGGTCCAGGGCCTGGCCCCGCCCCGCCTGGGCTGAGCTGCCACAAGTTACTAAGCAACAGCCGCCCTCCCAGCAAATAACTGACCCTTCAGTTACGTATGGCAGGTTTGTTCCGCGCGGCAGCCTTTTCCTCTGAACGCCGCTCGCCAGGCCCTGCCTGCTGACTCTGTTTCCTCAGTCTCCCCACAGAATGGACACACAGTGACGTTCAAACACACACATTCCTGGAAGACAGCTTGCATTTTGGGATAAAGGGCTTCAACCCGCCTCCTACACAGGCGACTCCTGAGATCGCAGGAAGGTGGTGCTGTGGGCGCCCCTGCCAGTGCTGCCAGAGAGGCTGCTGGCAGACCTCTGCTCTCTCCAGCTGGAGGATGACTGCCCCATCTTTCACTGATCTGTATACTTATTTTTGTACCTTTCCGTGATTCACCAAAAGTGCTATCTGAGACTTTTGACTTAAAAAGTGGTCCCTCTTTCCTGGAGTGTGGCATGCACATCATCAGATTTGCATAATCTCCAGGCAGGATGTGGGGGGACCGGGGAGGAGCAGGTCTTTTCCGGACCCTGTGGGATCTGGATAGCCCAGTGCTGGGCAGCCTGCACGCCCGGCCTCACCTTTTGGTTAAGTGCAGGGCGTCTGGGCCTCTAGAAGCTGAACTAAGGCTTGGAGACAACTGAGCTTTTGTTGACTGCGATTTCCAGTGAGTGGAAACTGACGGGGGAGTAATAGAGTGTCAGGGAAAATTAATCTGCAGCCAGGCGGCCACACCTGCCGCAGCTGGAAATCTAACTTTCTCCTTTGTCTCAAGCCTCCATGTGGGCCCGTTGGCATCGCAGTTTGCTCTGGTGGCCTGGGAACCACTGATTAGTCCCTCGCACTGTTCTTGTTGCTGCCTGGAGACTGGGTGTCCATGACACCCCTTCTTGGGTTCATGGGGCCCCAGCGCTGCCCCCAGCGTCCCTATCAGAGCTGTCCTCTCTGAGTTTCTGCATTCATCTTTTAACTTCCGGGTTATTTACCTGAAACCAGAGCCCTGTGGTGGCCCGGCCACCCTGATGTTCCCCCCAGGAAGGAGCCGAGGGACGTGGGCGGGCAGAGGGGCGTGGGCAGAGGGGGGCTGCATTTGGGGAGCAGCACTTGGAGTCAATTGCTGCATGCGGTACAAACCTCATTTCTCAGCGCCGATGATAGGTGTCACGGTCTGGCCAGGAGCGCTTCCAGGTCCTGGCAGGGACTTAAAGACACTCCTTTAGTGATCATTAAATTGAAGTGATTTTAACTCCACAGTTGGTAGTACCGGAATCCATGCTGACTCGCCCATATAAAGGGTGAAGTGGTACCCCTTACCGTTCCATGAATTTCAGTGAATTTACCTACATAACCTGCATCCACGTGAAGTTTTCTTTCCTCCTCCTTTAACGCAGGTGGGATTGCATTGTGCGGTTGCTTCGTGACTTGCTTTCTCCACTCTGTAACTTGCCCCGGTAGCCTTTCCATGTCAGGACCCAGCAGCCGGCACCCCTTCTTCACTGCTCCCATGCGTGCCACGTGGACGAGCAGAGCTTCCATTTCAGAAGCTTGTGCATCATTCTGATGGATTGCTGTTTTCAGCGGTGCAGCCGCAGACGTCTGTGCACACGACCCGGTGCAGCCGCAGACGTCTGTGCACACGACCC